ACGGAAGGGTTCTGTCTATAACGGAAGGGTTCTGTCTATAACGGAAGGGTTCTGTCCATAACGGAAGGGTTCTGTCTATAACGGAAGGGTTCTGTCTATAACGGAAGGGTTCTGTCTATAACGGAAGGGTTCTGTCCATAACGGAAGGGTTCTGTCTATAACGGAAGGGTTCTGTCTATAACGGAAGGGTTCTGTCTATAACGGAAGGGTTCTGTCTATAACGGAAGGGTTCTGTCCATAACGGAAGGGTTCTGTCCATAACGGAAGGGTTCTGTCCATAACGGAAGGGTTCTGTCTATAACGGAAGGGTTCTGTCTATAACAGAAGGGTTCTATCTATGACGGTAGGGATCTATAATTGCAAGGTTGTATCCATGACGGCATACGAAAAGTATTCAGACATGATTTGGAAAGGCACACACCTGTCTATATAAGGTCCCACAGTTCAAAGCAAAAACCAAGCCATGAGGTCAAAGGAATTATCTGTAGAGCTCCGAGACAGGATTGTGTCGAGGCACAGATCTGGGGCTTTTCTATGATGGTAAGGTTCTATCTATGACGGTAGGGTTCTATCTATGACGGAAGGGTTCTATGACGGATCAAGATGGTAGGGTTGTATCTATGATGGTATGGTTCTATGACGGTATGGTTCTATGACAGATCAAGACGGTAGGGAACTATCTATGACGGTAGGATTATATCTATTATGGTAGTGTTCAATTACAGGTCAAGACGATAGGGTTCTGTCTATGATGCAATGTTTCCATCTATGACGGTAAGGTTCCATCTATTACTGTATGGTTCTATGATGGTAGGGTTCTATCTATGATGATAGGGTTCTATGACGGATCATGATGGTAGGGTTCTATCTATGACGATAGGGTTCTATGACGGATCATGATGGTAGGGTTCTATCTATGATGATAGGGTTCTATGACGGATCATGATGGTAGGGTTCTATCTATGATGGTAAAGTTCTATCTGTGACTGTAAGGTTTTATCTATGATGGTAGGGTTCTATGTATTATGGTAGGGTTCTATGTATGATGGTAGGGTTCTATGTATGATGGTAGGGTTCTATGGATGATGGTAGGGTTCTATGTATGACGGTAGGGTTCTATGGATGATGGTAGGGTTCTATGTATGATGTTAGGGTTCTATGGATGATGGTAGGGTTCTATCTACCTTCAGACTAGCCTTGTGATGCTTGTGGGTGTTCTAGAAGAGGTCCGACAGGTCTAACAACTTGGATGGAAAATTACTGAGGATAATAGCAGACGATATTGCCACTCCTATATGCCATATCTTCAATTTAAGCCTACTAGAAAGTGTGTGCCCTCAGGCCTGGAGGGAAGCCAAAGTTATTCCCCTACCTAAAAATAGTAAAGCCCCCTTAACTGGCTCAAATAGCCGACCAATCAGCCTGTTACCAACCCTTAGTAAAGTTTTGGAAGTTTACATACACCTTAGCCAAATACATTTAAACTCAGTTTTTCACAATTCCTGACATTTAATCCTAGTAAAAATTCCCTGTCTTAGGTCAGTTAGGATCTCCACTTTATTTTAAGAATGTGAAATGTCAGAATAATAGTAGAGAGAATGATTTATTTCAGATTTGATTTCTTTCATCATCTTCCAAGTGGGTCAGAAATTTACATACACTCAATTAGTATTTGGTAGCATTGCCTTTAAATTGTTTAACTTGTGTCAAATGCTTCGGGTAGCCTTCCACAAGTTTCCCACAATAAATTGGGTGAATTTTGGCCCATTCCTCCTGACAGAGCTGGTGACAGAGCTGTGCCTCCTTGATCACACAGGTTTTTTCATTTTTTATGGTGGGGGAGGGGGGGGGGGGGGGGGGTAGAAGGATTACTTTTATACTATTCCAGGTATTCCTTAAAGAGGAAGGGTTTTCAAGTGTCTCCGGAAGGTGGTCAGTGACTCCGCTGTCTTGGCTTCGTGGGGGAGGTTGTTCCACCATTGGGGTCCAGAGCAGCGAATAACTTTGACTTTCTCCAAAAAATACTATCTTTGTCCCCATGTGCAGTTGCAAACCGTAGTCTGGCTTTTTTATGGCGGTTTTGGAGCAGTGGCTTCTTCCTTGCTGAGTGGCCTTTCAGGTTATGTCGATAAAGGACTCGTTTTACTGTGGATATAGATACTTTTGTACCTGTTTCCTCCAACATCTTCAGAAGGTCCTTTGCTGTTGTTCTGGGATTGATTTGCACTTTTCGCACCAAAGTACGTTCATCTCTAGGATGCGTCTCCTTCCTGAGCGGTATGACGGCTGCGTGGTCCCATGGTGTTTATACTTGCGCACTATTGTTTGTACAGATGAACGTGGTACCTTCAGGCGTTTGGAAATTACTCCCAAGGATTAACCAGACTTGTGGCGGTCTACAATTTTTTTTCTGATGTCTTGGTTGATTTCTTTAGATTTTCCCATGATGTCAAGCAAAGAGGCACTGAGTTTGAAGGTAGGCCTTGAAATACATCCACAGGTACACCTCCAATTGACATGAAATTATGTCAATTAGCCTATCAGAGGCTTCTAAACCATGACATGATTTTCTGGAATTTTCCAAGCTGTTTAAAGGCACAGTCAACTTAGTGTATGTACATTTCTGACCCACTGGAATTGTGATACAGTGAATTAAATGTGAAATAATATGTCTGTAAACAATTGTTGGAAAAAAAAGTAGATGTCCTAACTGACTTGCCAAAACTATAGTTTGTTAACAAGAAATGTGTGGAGTGGTTGAAAAACAAGTTTTAATTACTCCAACCTAAGTGTATGTAAACTTCCGATTTCAACTGTAGTTTCAGAATGGGTGGTAAGGAATAAGTTAGTCCTAAATATTTCAAAAACTAAAAGCATTGTATTTGGCGCAAATCATTCACTAAACCCTAAACCTCAACTACATCTCTAATGAATAATGTGGAAATTGAGCAAGTTGAGAGCACAATACTTGTTAGACTTCAGTGTGGCTTTTGACATTATTGATCATAGTCTGCTGCTGGAAAAATGTATATACTATGGCTTTACACCCCCTGCTATAATGTGGATAAAGAGTTACTTGTCTAACAGAACACAGAGGGTGTTCTGTAATGGAAGCCTCTCAAACATTATCCAGGTAGAATCAGGAATTCTCCAGGGCAGCTGTCTAGGCCCCTTGCTTTTTCCATCTTTACTAACGACATGCCACTGGCTTTGAGTAAAGCCAGTGTGTCTATGTATGCAGATGACTCAACACTATACATGTCAGCTACTACAGCAACTGAAATAACTGCAAAATGTAACAAAGAGTTGCAGTTAGTTTCGGAATGTGTGGCAAGGAATAAGTTAGTCCTGAATATTTCTAAAATTAAAAGCATTGTATTTGGGTCAAATCATTCACTAAATCCTAAACCTCAACTACATCTCGTAATGAATAATGTGGAAATTGAGCAAGTTGTGGTGACTAAACTGCTTGGAGTTTTAAACTGTCATGGTCAAAGCATATTGATTCAACAGTAGCTAAAATGGGGACAAGTATATCCATAATTAAGCGCTGCTCTGTCTTCTTAACAACACTATCAACAAGGCAGGCCCTAGCTTTGTCGCACCTAGACTGCTGTTCAGTAGTGTGGTCAGGTGCCAAAAAGAGGGACTTGGGAAAATTACAGTTGGCTCAGAACAGGGCAGCACAGCTGGCCCTTTAAAAGTACACAGAGAGCTAACATTGATGACATGCATGTCAGTCTCTCCTGGCTCAGAGTGGAAGAGAGATTGACTTCATCACTGCTTGTTTTTGTGAGAGGTGGCGACGAGCTGAATGCACCGAGCTGTCTGTTTGGAATACTGGCACACAGCTTGGACACCCATGCATACCCCACAAGACATGCCACCAGAGGTATCTTCACAGTCCCCAAGTCCAGAACAGACTATGGGAGGCTCACAGTACTACATAGAGCCATGACTACATGGAACTCTATTCCACATCAGGTAACTGATGCAAGAAGTAGAATCAGATTTAAAAAACAGGTAAAAATACACCTTGTGGAACAGCAGGGACAGTGAAGAGACACACACACACACACAGGTACATACACACATACATATAGACACTCACTCTACACACACGTACACATGGATGTTGTATTGTAAATATGTGTTAGTGGAGTAGTGGCCTGAGGGAAGACACTAAATGTATTGGGTAAAGTGTTATGAAATAACAATAAATAGAAATACAAATACATAGAGCCATGACTATATGGAACTCTATTCCACATCAGGTAACTGATGCAGGCAGTAAAATCAGATTAAATAAACAGATAAAAATAAATCTTATGGAACTGTAGGGACTGTGAAGCAACACAAACATAGACACAGACACATGCATACACACACACGATAACATACGCACTATACACACAGGTACACATGGATTCTGTGTTATAGATATGTGGTAGTGGAGTAGTGGCCTGAGGGAACACCCTCAATATGTTGTGAATTCTGTTATGAATGTATTATAATGTTTTTTAAATTGTATAACTGCCTTAATTTTGCCGGTCCCAAGGAAGAGTAGCTGGGGATCCATAATAAATACAAATACAAAACAACCGACATGTACGTGTTTGTGAAATTCTCAGCTTTCGATGGTGGGGTCATACAGACATTCGGATGCTACAGACGTTTTAATGAGAAGACTGATTTTCGGGACGTCTCCTGGTCTGACAAACACCACTGTAGCTCTGTCACAATCCACCGCGGAAGGCCGTCATCGGAGGATGCAGTGGATTGAGACGCAAAAATACATATCTTTATCTTAAACTGATAGATTTTGATGGATATTTTTTTCTATGCTATTTAGATAGGGGGTCCATTAAGCCCTCAGTGTGCTGACTGTCTCTGTGTGTCTCTCCCTGTAGATAGGAAACATCAAGCCAGAGACAGAGATCAGATGGTACAAAGACGGATTGGAGATTGAAGAGGATGATGCTGATTACAAGAAGATCGAGATGAAGGACGTACTGTTGACCTTCAACATCGGAAAGGTCAGGAAGTGGCTGTGGGGGATGGGGTTGAGGCAGTAGACAGACGGGGTGTGTGGAGAAGACCTGGGTCATAATGTCCATTACTACTCAAGGTGCTTCTGATGTAGCTTGTCCGTATAATGGAAGCAATGGAGTAGTACAAAAAGTGCAAGCTCCACCCGCCCTGCATGCTGGTCAAGCTAAATGAATCACAGCTCAATTATTTGCCATCCCGTAGGCTATGTATTTAACCCAGGTCTGGTCTGGTTCAGCTAACTTCTGAAGAGCATTGCTTCTAACTCAGCTCTGCTACGCTTTACAATATGCTATCAGGCTAACGGCTACCAAACTACTGTACGCTAACGGCCAACATTTACAGCCTACTACCCCACTAGACTGTCCCTCCCTGTCACAGACTCTAACATTAGGACATTTAGGTTATATCATGTCACTCCTAAACTACTCCAAGACTGTCCGTCACCATTGTAATAATAAGAATGATATCTATGGTAGACGGAGAGTACGATAAGAGCGTCTGCTAAATGAAGTAGGTTCATGCTCTACAACATTCAGAGAGTACGACCCTGCCTTACTCTGGATAAGAGCGTCTGCTAAATGACGTAGGTTCATGCTCTACAACATTCGGAGAGTACGACCCTGCCTTACACAGGAAGCGGCACAGGTCCTAATCCAGGCACTTGTCATCTCCCGTCTGGATTACTGCAACTCGCTGTTGGCTGGGCTCCCTGCCTGTGCCATTAAACCCCTACAACTCATCCAGAATGCCGCAGCCCGTCTGGTGTTCAACCTTCCCAAGTTCTCTCACGTCACCCCGCTCCTCCGCACACTCCACTGGCTTCCAGTTGAAGCTCGCATCTGCTACAAGACCATGGTGCTTGCCTACGGAGCTGTGAAGGGAACGGCACCTCCGTACCTTCAGGCTCTGATCAGTCCCTACACCCAAATGAGGGCATTGCGTTCATCCACCTCTGGCCTGCTGGCCCCCCTACCTCTGCGGAAGCAAAGTTCCAGCTCAGCCCAGTAAAAAAAAAAAACATATTGTAAAGTGGTTATCCCACTGGCTATAAGGTGAATGCACCAATTTGTAAATCGCTCTGGATAAGAGCGTCTACTAAATGACGTAAATGTAAATGTTGTCACTCTCAGTTGACCAGATGCTTCCAACAAATATCTGTTATTATGACACTATCTAATGTATAAACCTTATTGACAGTGAATATGTTCACTATGTGAATGTAGCAAATATCTATGATGTAGTCTCATTTATGTATCAAACTCTCTTCAACATTTATGCCCATATATCATAAATATATGGTAGTTCCATGTGCTAAATTTAAATAGTTAAAATATAATCTGCGTTCAGTCCCACTGCATTGGCGTTAGACGCCATGTTCTGTTCAAATGAAGGGAAAATAACCATCTGCTATTATGGAGGTACAAATAAATGTATTCCAGTCACATTGAATGCCTAGTTTCAAAGTACCACAATGTCCATTCAGATGTCAGTGTGTGACAGAGGGGTGGAGCCAGTGCCATAGCATGGGTCAGAGAGCTGCACCTCCACCACTACTCTCCTAGAGGGCCCATAGCATGGGTCAGAGAGCTGCACCTCCACTACTACTCTCCTAGAGAACCCATAGCATGGGTCAGAGAGCTACACCTCGACCACTACTCTCCTAGAGGGCCCATAGCATGGGTCAGAGAGCTGCACCTCCACCACTACTCTCCTAGAGGGCCCATAGCATGGGTCAGAGAGCTGCACCTCCACCACTACTCTCCTAGAGGGCCCATAGCATGGGTCAGAGAGCTGCACCTCCACCACTACTCTCCTAGAGGGCCCATAGCATGGGTCAGAGAGCTGCACCTCCACCACTACTCTCCTAGAGGGCCCATAGCATGGGTCAGAGAGCTGCACCTCCACCACTACTCTCCTAGAGGGCCCATAGCATGGGTCAGAGAGCTGCACCTCCACCACTACTCTCCTAGAGGGCCCATAGCATGGGTCAGAGAGCTGCAACTCCACCACTACTCTCCTAGAGGGCCCATAGCATGGGTCAGAGGAGAGCTGCACCTCCACCACTACTCTCCTAGAGGGCCCATAGCATGGGTCAGAGAGCTGCACCTCCACCACTACTCTCCTAGAGGGCCCATAGCATGGGTCAGAGAGCTGCACCTCCACCACTACTCTCCTAGAGGGCCCATAGCATGGGTCAGAGGAGAGCTGCACCTCCACCACTACTCTCCTAGAGGGCCCATATTATGGGTCAGAGGAGAGCTGCACCTCCACCACTACTCTCCTAGAGGGCCCATAGCATGGGTCAGAGGAGAGCTGCAACTCCACCACTACTCTCCTAGAGGGCCCATAGCATGGGTCAGAGAGCTGCACCTCCACCACTACTCTCCTAGAGGGCCCATAGCATGGGTCAGAGAGCTGCACCTCCACCACTACTCTCCTAGAGGGCCCATAGCATGGGTCAGAGGAGAGCTGCAACTCCACCACTACTCTCCTAGAGGGCCCATAGCATGGGTCAGAGAGCTGCACCTCCACCACTACTCTCCTAGAGGGCCCATAGCATGGGTCAGGAGGAGCTGCACCTCCACCACTACTCTCCTAGAGGGCCCATAGCATGGGTCAGAGAGCTGCACCTCCACCACCACTCTCCTAGAGGGCCCATAGCATGGGTCAGAGAGCTGCACCTCCACCACTACTCTCCGAGAGGGCCCATAGCATGGGTCAGAGAGCTGCACCTCCACCACTACTCTCCTTGAGGGCGCATAGCTGCAGCTGCAGCTATAGGCTGCTACATTAACCTGCTTATCTTGTAATCCGCAGTGGGTTGTGGTTAAAACAGACACTGAATGTGGGGACCCTGGGGAGAGAATGGCACCAGCAGCCGTCGTGGAGGCACCACCAAGACACAAAGTCTGGACTGATACTTTATCTAAAGCCATGAGTCACTGTCTGTCCACTTATCAGCCTGCAGCATCTTGGCAGGAAAAAAGCGTTGTTTCGGGTCTAGAAGTTTCTCTGTGTGATCTGTGTCAGCATAATTCAGGCCACGTCCCAGATGGCACCCTATTCCCTATGTAGGGCATTACTTTTGGCCGGAACTATGAGACTGTATAGGGAATAGGGTGTGATTTGGGACAGAGCCTCAGATTGCCTTTGTAACTGATGAGGGCTGGGTAAGTGTCTCTCAAGGTCTCTGACTGTCCTCCTCTCTGACTCTAACCCTGTTCTAGTTGTCCAAAAAGGATGCAGGTGTGTACGAGGTGAAGCTAAAGGATGCCAGAGGAAAAGATAAGAGCATGTTCAACCTGACTGAAGCAGGTACGGATACACCTCTCTCACGGCTCTACTGTGTTCTAGAACACTTATCATGTATATACTGTATTCTAGAACACCTGTCATGGCTCTACTGTGTTCTAGAACACTTATCATGTATATACTGTATTCTAGAACACCTATCATGGCTTTACTGTGTTCTAGAACACCTCTCTCACGGCTCTACTGGGTTCTAGAACACTTATCATGTATATACTGTGTTCTAGAACACCTCTGTCATGGCTCTACTGTGTTCTAGAACACCTCTGTCATGGCTCTACTGTGTTCTAGAACACCTCTGTCATGGCTCTACTGTGTTCTAGAACACCTCTGTCATGGCTCTACTGTGTTCTAGAACACCTCTGTCATGGCTCTACTGTGTTCTAGAACACCTCTGTCATGGCTCTACTGTTTCTAGAACACCTCTGTCATGGCTCTACTGTGTTCTAGAACACCTCTGTCATGGCTCTACTGTGTTCTAGAACACCTCTGTCATGGCTCTACTGTGTTCTAGAACACCTCTGTCAAGGCTCTACTGTGTTCTAGAACACCTCTGTCATGGCTCTACTGTGTTCTAGAACACCTATGTCATGGCTCTACTGTGTTCTAGAACACCTCTGTCATGGCTCTACTGTGTTCTAGAACACCTCTGTCATGGCTCTACTGTGTTCTAGAACACCTCTGTCATGGCTCTACTGTGTTCTAGAACACCTCTGTCATGGCTCTACTGTGTTCTAGAACACCTCTGTCATGGCTCTACTGTGTTCTAGAACACCTCTGTCATGGTTTCACTGTGTTCTAGAACACCCCTGTCATGGCTCTACTGTGTTCTAGAACACCTCTGTCATGGCTCTACTGTGTTCTAGAACACCTCTGTCATGGCTCTACTGTGTTCTAGAACACCTCTGTCATGGCTCTACTGTGTTCTAGAACACCTCTGTCATGGCTCTACTGTGTTCTAGAACACCTCTGTCATGGTTTCACTGTGTTCTAGAACACCCCTGTCATGGCTCTACTGTGTTCTAGAACACCTCTGTATCTCTCTAAGGCCAAACTGTGTCCACTACTGTAACTATTGTTGACTACTAGTAATGACTGTAATCTGTTCCAGGTTACCAAGCTGTGCTGAACGAGCTGTTCAGGGTGATTGGTGAGTCTCATCTACATGTTAACAGATACACTGCATGTGGAACATTGTGTTTTATAAACCGGCTGGTTCGAGGCCTGAATGCTCATTGGCTGAAGGCCGTGGTATATCAGACCGGATACCACGTGTATGACAAAAATAATATTTGTACTGTTCTAATTACGTTGGTAACCAGTTTATACCACAGCCCCCCGTGCGTTATTGCTTAAGTATACAATATGATTCTTTAAGGAATACCTGGAATAGTATAACAGTAATCCTTCTACCCCCCCTCCCCCACCCCCCATTAGAAGAAAACAAAAATTGTGGTTGTCCCACTGCCTATCCTAAGTTGAATGCACCAATTTGTAAGTGTCTCTGGATAAGAGCGTCTGCTAAATGACTAAAATGTAAAATAATGATGATTGAATAATGCAGTTTATTACCCTGTCTACTTGGTCTCCTCCAGCCAAGTCGTCTACGGACATCAGTGTGCTGAGTACAGAACATGGTATCGTCCTCTACTCCTTCATCACATATCACATGGAGGACCTCCAAGTGGGCTGGCTGCACAAGTAAGACTATGGACCCAATGGCTCCCTACCCTAACCCTAACCCTAACCTCCAAGTGGGCTGGCTGCACAAGTAAGACTATGGACCCAATGGCTCACTACCCTAACCCTAACCCTAACCTCCAAGTGGGCTGGCTGCACAAGTAAGACTATGGACCCAATGGCTCCCTACCCTAAGCCTAACCCTAACCTCCAAGTGGGCTGGCTGCACAAGTAAGACTATGGACCCAATGGCTCCCTACCCTAACCCTAACCCTAACCTCCAAGTGGGCTGGCTGCACAAGTAAGACTATGGACCCAATGGCTCCCTACCCTAACCCTAACCTCCAAGTGGGCTGGCTGCACAAGTAAGACTATGGACCCAATGGCTCCCTACCATAACCCTAACCCTAACCTCCAAGTGGGCTGGCTGCACAAGTAAGACTATGGACCCAATGGCTCACTACCCTAACCCTAACCCTAACCTCCAAGTGGGCTGGCTGCACAAGTAAGACTATGGACCCAATGGCTCCCTACCATAAGCCTAACCCTAACCTCCAAGTGGGCTGGCTGCACAAGTAAGACTATGGACCCAATGGCTCACTACCCTAACCCTAACCCTAACCTCCAAGTGGGCTGGCTGCACAAGTAAGACTATGGACCCAATGGCTCCCTACCCTAAGCCTAACCCTAACCTCCAAGTGGGCGGGCTGCACAAGTAAGACTATGGACCCAATGGCTCACTACCCTAACCCTAACCCTAACCTCCAAGTGGGCTGGCTGCACAAGTAAGACTATGGACCCAATGGCTCCCTACCCTACCCCTAACCCTAACCTCCAAGTGGGCTGGCTGCACAAGTAAGACTATGGACCCAATGGCTCACTACCCTAACCCTAACCCTAACCTCCAAGTGGGCTGGCTGCACAAGTAAGACTATGGACCCCAATGGCTCCCTACCCTACCCCTAACCCTAACCTCCAAGTGGGCTGGCTGCACAAGTAAGACTATGGACCCAATGGCTCACTACCCTAACCCTAACCCTAACCTCCAAGTGGGCTGGCTGCACAAGTAAGACTATGGACCCAATGGCTCCCTACCCTAACCCTAACCCTAACCTCCAAGTGGGCTGGCTGTACAACACTCTCACTGTACTACCTAGTGGCTCCATAGCTCCCTACTGTACTACCTAGTGGCTCCCTACTGTACTACCTAGTGGCTCCCTACTGTACTACCTAGTGGCTCCCTACTGTCATACCCAATGGCTCCCTACTGTACTACCTAGTGGCTCCCTACTGTACTACCCAGTGGCTTCCCTACTGTACACCTAGTGGCTCCCTACTGTAACTACCATGGCTCCCTACTCCCTACTACCTAGTGTGTGCTCCCTACTGTACTACCTAGTTGGCTCCTACTTACGTACTACCTAGTGGCTCCCTACTGTACTACCTAGTGGCTCCCTACTCGCACTACCTAGTGGCTCCCTACTGTACTACCTAGTGGCTCCCTACTGTACTACCTAGTGGCTCCCTACTGTACTACCTAGTGGCTCCCTACTGTACTACCTAGTGGCTCCCTACTGTACTACCTAGTGGCTCCCTACTGTACTACCTAGTGGCTCCCTACTCCACTACCTAGTGGCTCCCTACTGTACTACCTAGTGGCTCCCTACTGTACTACCTAGTGGCTCCCTACTGTCCACTACCTAGTGGCTCCCTACTGTACTACCTAGTGGCTCCCTACTGTACTACCTAGTGGCTCCCTACTGTACTACCTAGTGGCTCCCTACTGTACTACCTAGTGCTCCCTACTGTACTACCTAGTGGCTCCCTACTGTACTACCTAGTGGCTCCCTACTGTACTACCTAGTGGCTCCCTACTCACTACCTAGTGGCTCCCTACTGTACTACCTAGTGGCTCCCTACTGTACTCCCCCTAGTGGCTCCCTACTTCCCTACCTAGTGGCTCCCTATTTACCCCTATGCTCCACTGTACTACCTAGTGGCTCCCTACTGTACACCTAGGGGCTCCCTACTGTACTACCTAGTGGCTCCCTATTTTACTACCTAGTGGCTCCCTACTGTACTACCTAGTGGCTCCCTACTGTACTACCTAGTGGTTTCCCTACTCCACTACCTAGTGGCCCCTACTGTACTACCTAGTGCTCCTACTCCACTACCTAGTGCCCCTACTTCCTACCTAGTGGCTCCCTACTACTACCTAGTGGCTCCCTACTGTACTACCTATTGGCTCCCTACTGTACTACCTATTGGCTCCCTACTGTACTACCTATTGGCTCCCTACTGTACTACCTATGGCTCCCTATTTCCAAACCTAGTGGCTCCCTATTTCCTACCTAGTGGCTCCCTACTGTACTACCTAGTGGCTCCCTACTCACTACCTAGTGGCTCCTACTGTACTACCTAGTGGCTCCCTACTCCACTCCCTAGTGGCTCCCTACTGTACTACTAGTGGCTCCCTACTCCCTACCTAGTGGCTCCCTACTGCCCTACCTAGTGGCTCCCTACTGTACTACCTAGTGGTTTCCCTACTACTACCTAGTGGCTCCCTACTGTACTACCTAGTGGCTCCCTACTGTACTACCTAGTGGCTCCCTACTTACCACCTAGGGGCCCTCCCTACCCCACTCCCTAGTGGCTCCCACCCCCAAATTTTGACCTAGTGGCTCCCTACTACTACCTAGTGGCCCCCTACTGACTACCTATGGCTCCCTACTGTACTACCTAGTGGTTTCCCTATTTAACTACCTATGGCTCCCTACTGTACTACCTATTTGGCTCCCTACTGTACTCCTAGGGGCTCCCTACTGTTTTACTACCTAGTGGCTCCCTATTTCCACTACCTAGTGCTCCCTACTGTACTACCTATGGCCTCCCTACTTCCCTACCTGGGGTTTCCCTACTGAAACTACCTAGTGGCTCCCTACTGTACTACCTAGTGGCTCCCTACTCCACTACCTAGTGGCTCCCTACTGTACTACCTAGTGGCTCCCTACTGTACTACCTAGGGGCTCCCTACGTACTACCTAGTGGCTCCCTATTTACTACCTAGTGGCTCCCTACTGTACTCCCCTATGGGCTCCCTACTTCCACTACCTAGTGGCTCCCTACTGTACTAACCTGGGGCTCCCTACTGTCTACCAGTGGCTCCCTACTACTACCTAGTGGCTCCCTACTGTACTACCTATGGCTCCCTACTGTACACCTAGTGGCTCCCTACTGTACAAACTAGGGGGCTCCCTACTTCCTACCTAGTGGCCCTCCCTACTGACTACCAGTGTCTCCCTACTCCACTACCTAGGGGCTCCCTACTGTACTACCTATGGCTCCCTACTGTACTACCTAGTGGCTCCCTACTACTACCTTTGGCTCCCTTCCCCTCCCACTACCTATTTGGCTCCCTACGTACTCCTAGTGGCTCCCTACTGTACTACCTAGTGGCTCCCTACTCCACTACCTAGTGGCCCCTACTTTTTCCACTACCTAGTGGCTCCCAAATTTACTACCTATGGCTCCCTACCCCACTACCTAGTGGCTCCCTACTCCCACCTATGGCTCCCTATTTCCACACCTAGTGGCTCCCTACTGTACTCCCCTATTTGGCTCCCTACTGTACTACCTATGGCTCCCTACTCCACTACCTAGGGCTCCCTCTTACTACCTATTGGCTCCCTACTCCACTACCTTTTGGGGCTCCCTACTGACTACCTAGTGGCTCCCTACTCCACTACCTAGTGGCTCCCTACTGTACTACCTAGGGGCTCCCTACTGTATACCTAGTGGCTCCCTACTTACTACCTAGGGGCTCCCTACCCCACTACCTAGTGGCTCCCTACTCCACTACCTAGTGCTCCCTACCCACTACCTAGTGGCTCCCTACTTACTACCTATGGCTACCCTACCTACCCCCACTTCCCTAACCTAGTGGCTCCCTACTGTACTACCTAGTGGCTCCCTACTCCACTACCTATGGCTCCCTACTTACTACCTAGTGGCTCCCACTGACTACCTAGTGGCTCCCTACTCCACTACCTATGGCTCCCTACTTACTACCTAGTGGCTCCCTACTTACAAACCTAGTGGCCCCCCTACTACTACCTAGTGGCTCCCTACTCCCACTACCTAGTGGCTCCCTACTGTACTACCCTAGTGGCTCCTATTTCCACAAACCTATTGGCTCCTATTTACTACCTGGGGCTCCCTACTTACTACCTATGGCCCCCTACTGACTCCCTATGGCTCCACTCCCACCTAGTGGCTCCCTCCCCACTCCCTAGGCCCCTACTGAAACTACCTGTGGCTCCCTACTCCCTACCTAGTGGCTCCCTAGTACTCCTAGGGCTCCCCTTACTACCAGGGGTCCCTACTTACCCCTAGGGGCCCTCCCCTATTTGCTCCCCTATTTGCTCCCTACTGTTAACCTAGGGCTCCCTACCCCATACTAGGGGGCCCTTGTACTAACTATTTGCCCCTACTGTACTACCTGGGGGCCCCTACTTCCAATTCCCTATTTTTGGCTCCCTACCCACACTAGGGGTTCCCTACTACCCCTAGGGGCTCCCACTTACCCCCTATGGCTCCCACTGTACCCCAGGGGCCCCTACCCACTACTAGTGGCTCCCTACTACTACCTTGGCCCCTACTTTTACCATGGCCCCACTGTACAAACCTAGTGGCCCACTGTACTCCCTAGTGTTTCCCTACTCCCTCCCTAGTGGCTCCCTACTTACTAACCTAGGGTCCCTACTGAAACTACCTATGGCTCCCTACTGACTCCATGGACCCTACTGTACACCATGGCTCCCTCCCTCCCTACCTAGTGCCCCCTACTACTACCAGTGGCTCCTACTGTACTACCTATGGCTCCCTACGTACTACCTAGGGGCTCCTACTGTACTACAGTGGCTCCCTACCCACTACCTGTGGCCCCCTACGTACAAACTGTGGCTCCCTATTTAAAACCTAGTGGCCCCTACTGTACTACCATGGCTCCTACTGACTACCTAGGCCCCCCCTACCAACTACCCTAGTGGCTCCCTATGTACTAACCTAGTGGCTCCCTACTCCCTACCTAGTGGTCCCTACTGACTACCTATGGCTTCCACTGATACTACCTAGGGCCTCCCTCTCCACTCCCCAGGGCTCCCTACTGTACTACTATGGTCCCTACTGTACTACCTATGGCTTCCCTACTGTACTACCTAGGGGGTCCTACTGTACTACTAGTGGCTCCCACTGTACTCTAGGGCTCCCTACTGTACTACCTAGTGGCTTCCTACTTACAAACCTAGGGGCCCCAAATTTACTACCTAGTGTTTCCCTACTTCCTAATGTGGCTCCGTACTACTAGTGGCTCCCTACTGACTACCTAATTCTCCCTACTGTCACCTAGGGGCTCCCTACTCCACTACCATTGGCCTCCCAAACGAAACACCTATGGCCCCTATATTTCCTATGGCTCCCTACTTACTACCTAGTGGCTCCCTACTACTCCCTAGGTGGTTTCCCTACTTTTACTACCTAGGGGCTTCCCTACTGAAACTACCAGTGGCTCCCTCTGTACTACCTAGTGGCTCCCTAACTTACCTAGTGCCCCCTACGTAACCTAGTGGCTCCCTACTACTACATGCTCCCTACGTCACTAGTGGCTCCCTACTTACTACCTAGTGGCTCCCACTGTACTACCTAGTGGCTCCCTACTTACTACCTATGGCTCCCTACTCCACTACCTATGGCTCCCTACTGTACACCTAGTGGCTCCCTACTGACTACCTATGGCTCCCCTACTCCACTACCTATGGCTCCCTACTGTACTACCTGTGGCTCCCTACTGTACTCCCTATGGCTCCCTACTGTACTACTATGGCTCCCTATTTCCACTACCTAGTGGCTTCCCTACTGTACTACCCTAGTGGCTCCCTACTGTACTACCTAGTGGCTCCCTACTGAAACTACCTAGTGGCTCCCTACTGTACTACCCTAGGGGCTCCCACTCAACTACCTAGTGGCTCCCTACTGTACTACCTAGTGGCTCCCTACTCCACTCCTAGTGGCTCCCTACTGTACTACCTAGTGGCTCCCTACTGTACTAACCTAGTGCTCCCTACTCCACTCCCTATTTGCTCCCTATTTCACTACCTAGTGGCTCCCTACTACTACCTAGTGGCTCCCTACTGTACTACCTATGGCTCCCTACGGGTACTACATAGGGGGCTCCCTACTGTACTACCTAGTGGCTCCCTACTGTACTACCTAGTGGCCCCCTACTGTCTACCTATTGGCCCCCTACTGTCTACCTAGTGGCTCCCTACTGTAACTAACTAGTGGCTCCCTCTGTACTACCTATGGTTTCCCTCCCTTACTTTACCTAGTGGCTCCCTACTGTACTACCTGGGGCTCCCTACTCCACTACCTATGGCTCCCTACGTACTACCTAGTGGCTCCCTACTCCACTCCCTAGTGGCTCCCTACTGTACTACCTATTTGGCTCCCTACCTCCACTACCTAGTGGCTCCCTACTGTACTACCTAGTGGCCCCCCTACTGTACTACCTAGTGGCTCCCTACTGTCTACCTAGTGGCTCCCTACTGTACTCCTATGGCTCCCTACTGTACTACCTAGTGGCTCCCTACTCCACTCCCTAGGGGCTCCCTACTGTACTACCTAGTGGCTCCCTACTCCACTACCCTATGGCTCCCTACTGTACTACCTATGGCTCCCAAACTGTACTACCTAGTGGCTCCCTACTCCACTACCTAGTGGCTCCCTACTGTACTACCCTATGGTTTCCCTACGAAACTACTATTGGCCCCTACTCCACTACCTAGGGGCTCCCTACGTACTACCTAGTGGCTCCTACTGTACTACCTAGTGGCTCCCTACTGTACTACCTAGTGGCTCCCTACTGTAACCTTACCCTAGTGGCTCCCTACTGTACTACCTAGTGGCTCCCTACTCCACTATCTAGTGGCTCCCTATTTACTCCACTACCTAGTTCTCCCTACTGTACTACCTAGGGGCTCCCTACTGTACTACCTAGGGGCCCCCTACTGTCACCTAGTGGCTCCCTACGTACTACCCTCCTTGGCTCCCACTGTACTACCTATTGGCCCCCTACTGTACTACCTAGTGGCTCCCTACTACTCCTATGCCCCCTACTGTACTCCCTAGTGGCTCCCTACTACTACCTAGTGGCCCCTACACTCCCTAGTGGCCCCCCTACTTACACCTATGGCTCCCTCCCCACTCCCTTTGGGCTCCCTCTGTCCCCTATGGCTCCCTACTGTACTACCTAGTGGCTCCCACTGTTACCTAGGGCCCCTACTTCTACCTTGGCCCCCTACTTTTTAAACCTAGTGGCCCCATTTCCATCCCCTAGTCACCGGCTCCCTACTGTACTACCAGCCCCCCTACACTACCTAGGGGCTCCCTACTTACCCCTTTTCCCCCCCCATTGGGGCCCCCCTACGTACTCGGGGCCTCCCACTGTACCCTATGGCCCCTACTCCACTACCTGGGGCTCCCATTACACAGTCTCCCATTTACTCCGGGGCTCCCTACTCCACTCCCTGGGCTCCCTACTGAACTACCATGGCTCCCACGTCCCTCCCATGGCTCCCTCTTCCCCTACCTAGTGGTCCCTACTGACACCTTGGCCCCCTACGTCCCTGGGGGTTTAAAATCCACTCCAGGGCCCCTATGTCTCCTCCCTATGGCTCCCTACTATCCCCTATGGCTCCCTACTGTCTACCAGTGGCTCCCTTTTACTACCTAGGGGCTCCCCATTTACCAGGGCCCCTACCCCTCCTGGGCCCCAATCCACCCATCCCCTATTACACCTTTTCTACTCCAATAGGGGTCCCTACACCCCGGGGGCCCCATGACTACCAAAGGGCCCCCAAAAATTACCTAGTGGCTCCTACTGTACTACCTAGTGGTCCTCACTACTAGTGCTCCCTTACTACTAGTGGCTCCCTACTGTACTACCTAGTGGCTCCTACTGTACTACCTAGTGGCTCCCTACTCACTACCTAGTGGCTCCCTACTCACTACCTAGTGGCTCCCATACTGTCCCAGACTTTACCCTAGTGGCTCCCTACTGTACTACCTAGTGGCTCCCTACTCCATTTACCTAGTGGCTCCCTACTCACTACCTAGTGGCTCCCTACTGACTACCTAGTGGCTCCCTACTTACTACCTAGTGGCTCCCTACTCCACTACCTAGTGGCTCCCTACTGTACTACCTAGTGGCTCCCTACTCCACTACCTAGTGGCTCCCTACTCCACTACCTAGTGGCTCCCTACTGTCTACTAGTGGCTCCCTATAATGGCTCCTACTCTACCATGCTCACTGTCTCCTTGCTCCTACTGTACTACCTAGTGGCTCCCACTACTCTCCCTACTACTACTAGTGGCTCCCTACTCTCACTACCTAGTGGCTCCCTACTGTACTACCTAGTGGCTCCCTACTGACTACCTAGTGGCTCCCTTAACTGCTACTATACCTAGTGGCTCCCTACTCCACTACCTAGTGGCTCCCTACGTACTACTAGTGGCTCCCTACTTACTACCTAGTGGCTCCCTACTTACTACCTAGTGGCTCCCTACTTACTACCTAGTGGCTCCTATCCCTACTCCTACTACAAGTGGCTCCCTACTACTACTAGTGGCTCCCTACTACTACCTATGGCCCCTACTACTACTAGTGGCTCCCTACTCCACTACCTAGTGGCTCCCTACTGTACTACCTAGTGGCTCCCTACTACTACCTATGGCTCCCTACTACTACCTAGTGGCTCCCTACTGTACTACCTAGTGGCTCCCTACTGTACTACCTAGTGGCTCCCTACTACTCTACTAGTGCTCCCTACTGTACTACCTAGTGGCTCCTACTGTACTACCTAGTGGCTCCCTACTGTCACCTATGGCTCCCTACTTACTACTAGTGGCTCCCTACTGTACTACCTAGTGGCTCCCTACTGCTACCTAGTGGCTCCCTACTTACTACCTAGTGGCTCCCTACTTACTACTAGTGGCTCCCTACTTACACCTATGGCTCCCTACTCCACTACCTGTGGCTCCCTACTGTACTACCTAGGGCTCCCTACTCACTACCTAGTTCCTACTTTTAGTGCCCTTGTCACACCTAGTGGCCTCGTACACTATGCCCTATGACTATATGGTCCCTACCCCCCCTCACACTATGGCTCCCTATTACTATGCCCACTGATCCTAGTGGCCCCTACTCTACTATGGCTCCTACTATACTAGTGGCTCCCTACTGTACTCCTATGGTCCCTACTCTACCTAGGGCTCCCACTGTACTACCTAGTGGCTCCCTACTGTCTCCTTCTTGCTACTCCTGGTCCTTACTACTGTCCCCTTACTACTAGGCTCCTACTCACTACCTAGTGGCCCTACTGTACACTAGTGCTCC